TTTTGTTTATTATTTTTTCTGGTGGATGCATTCAATCACTCTCTGTGGTGTGGTTCAGTTGTTTAGGAAGTCTGCATTACCTTCCCCTTAATACATGCCCCACATCGAGGATGACGATTATGCCCAGGATAAAGGAAAATGTTATATGTTTCGAGGTGGATACATTCAAACTATTTCTTATCTCGTAGCTCAGTGGACTAAACCGTGGGAAGCTCGTTCGTCTTCCTCTTCTTACTACGTAAACAATTATAGTGACGATCACGCCCTCTAAAATTGGGTTTATAAGCAGGGAAAAAAATAAATTGTGGGGAGGTAACAGTCAGATCCCGGGCCTGCTTTGAAAAGCAATGACTACATCTGAGAAGATTATGCATAGTCAGAGGCCCTATCGCTTCTATAACAGAAACGAAATTTTTTGCTTGACTAAGCATACTTGAACAGATAGCTCTCTTATCAACACAATATGAGAAAGGTGGATTTAGCAGGGCAAGCACAAGGTGGTAAAAAATTTTAAATAGAAAATGAAAAAAAGAGATGTTATATACGTTAATTGAGCCTCATGTACGTGGCATTCAAGGAATGTTTCAAGTTGGTTATTGTTATGTGGCTCGCTATATTTGGTGTAAACACATCCTCTGTTTCAAGGGCAGTTTACTTGGCAACCTATAAATATTTGTACATCCGCAATAATTTTTTCGAATTTTCGATGTTCTACATATAAGATATTGGATGTTCAACGTGCGATTTATATACAAATAAATGCCTATAAACACGTGTGTTATTTTAATACAACCATGTACAGAAGTTTATAAGAGTATACAAAAATTTGATCACGATTTTTTTCTCTGAGACTGTTAAGTCATGTGTCTCATGAATTAGTAAGGAAATCGATATATTTAGTATAATTTCCAGATACGAATTTATACGTAGCTACTCTTATAATTTCATTCTCGAATTTCTTATAATTTTGTTCTCAAGACTATTTATCAATTAATAGTCAGGTTCGTGGTTATCTACTATTTGAAATTCTTTTAATTTCACTTTATAAAATGCGGGTATATATCATCGATATTAATATATATCTGGCTATTTTACAGTGCTAATATGTAAATATATACGTGGCTAAAATTTTTATTGCAAGATTTATACTATTGTCTTATATATATTTCACTTATCTGTTATTTTGAACAGTACTTCAACAGTACTTTAACAGTGGCTTATCGTTATCATTATGCGGGAATTAAAAATTGTCCACGCAAATCAATGAATTGTTATCTTCCACTGATTAAACTGCGACATTCTGTGATCATTCCCTGATCGTGAATAAGAATTTAATAAAATTTCCGTGATCGTTCCGTAATGGTTCGCCGAATCATACAGATTAAAACTGGCCCGCATTATTGCTTCGCAATGACCCAAAGGGTCTAAATTTTATGCGGTGTTACCTTAATTTCTCACGGTCGATTTTTTATTAAGTTAATAAGTAGCGCTAATATGAATAGCGTCCTTACCTAATACACGATCCCGCGATAAGAATGGGACTTAAAAAGACTATAAGAGTAATGAGTATAACATTCTTTATCAGTAGTTTTATCCAAATTCATATGTTGCAGGGATTTGGAATCTCCGCCATCTCCCGAGATCGTCAGATCTAAATCCACCTTAAGCGATCGTCGAATCTAAGGAGGGTTAATTTTACCAGAAAAAATAACAAAATAGGCTCAGTGTTTGGAACTTATGACCGAGCGGAGTTGCTTTATGGAGAAAAAAAACTGGCGTTAGACTTGGGCATCGTAATTACTAATCGTGCATTTTCTTTCTGGCAGGTTCTCAGACCTAACGAATATGAGGTATAAAAATAAGTGGATTTGCTCACAAGGTAAGTTAGCAATAACGCTGCTCTTATATATTGTTTGGCTTAACTTATTTAAAATTTACTCTCAAGGTCTGGTTAACATACATTGTTATATGTTTTTTTTCGAAAGCGAAGTTCTACTTACTATTTATTTTTATGTTAGAAAGCGAAAATGGCGAATATTACTTTTAATTATCGTGTCAGCAGTGTCAGTATTTCCCCAAATATTCTTCCAAATACAACAGTTGCCGGTCTTAAAAATATGATTAGAAATAACGTTCCTTATAATGATTTTGATCTCTACGTAAATGATACCTTCCGAGATGTAAAAAATATATGGATCCACAAAATAATATTTTAAAATTGATAGACTGGGAAATTACATCCATATCCTTGTTTATGAAAGATAATTTTTTATTTATATGTATTCGCACTATGTAACTGCGATATATTTTATTTGTATATTATGTTGTCGTCCCGGCGATATAATAAAGGAGGGGGTCTGCTGGGCTCCCAATTTTTTATTTTTACACGATTTTTTACAATGTAGTTTGCGATTATTAATTAGTGGAAACTATTAAGTTAACTTCATTAATCTATGTTTTTAATATGCACTGATTAAATAATCAGAATTCTTATAAGTTTTTTTCCCGCTACTTAAATCATAGTAATAACCTGGTTCATCTTCATCAGAAAAACCGCAATAATCTCTATCATCGTTATCATCAGAGAATTCACTATCATTTTCATTATACTTATCGAATATATTTACAGTTTCTGGTTCCTTTGAAATCGATTTAGCAGATATGCTTACCTCAGTTTCTGGCAAAGATTTGACATCCTCATTTATCATAACTTCCGAATTATATGTATGAGACAACAGGATAGAGGAGGTGGTTGTAATACTTATCTCTGTTTCTGATGAAATTCTTTTAGCTTCCTCATTAATCTCAGTTTCGAGTAAGTCATTAGAAGAATTATTGGTGAATTCTATCGCAGGGTTTTTAGTGAAATGATCAATAATCGTTTGAATCTGTAAATTAGTAAATCTTGAAATACTATCTGCAGTATAAGATTTGGTATACTGAATCTTATCTATTCCTATTTTCTCGAATAAGTTATAAACTCTTAATGCTTTTTGTGTTTGCTTGCATAAGTTTTCACGCTTTGTGTT